TTTAGGTGCTAGTTTGAGTTTAGTTATTCGTACTGAGTTAGGGGTTATTGGTGGGTTGGTTTTTTTGGGGGCGTTTTTTTATTGTTTTGTTTGGGGGGGGGGGTTTTTGTTGGGTTTGGTTTTTTTTTTTGGGGGGGGGGGGTTAGAGCACATCATAAGAATATTATCATTTTTCAAGAATGAACGAATGACGGAACAATATATTATTGATCAACAAGGAAAGATATGGAGCAGAAATTTCTTTTCTTTCCTTTTTTTGACGTTTTACCTAAATATAGTCCCACATTCTTGGGCAATGATTAATTATAACACAGGACAACAAACATAATTTCAAAATTACTCTTAGCTAATAAAACTTGGATTCTAGAGATTGTAGACCATAATGGGACTGCTGTTCAAAATGCTAAGAAAAGTCACAAACCTTGAACAACAACATATTTTCCAATGTAACCTTAGTTGACGATCACTTTGTTGTGTTATGACTAGTGAATTATTTGACTTAATTTGTTGAGAAGTTGTTGACACAGCATCTGTATCTAATTCTAATGTATGTGCATCAGATGTTGATAATCGATGTTGCTGACCACCATGTACACTTGTGACTGCTGTTTGACCATTCGATGTATTCGCGGTAGCGATAGTACCGACATTAGTGTTACTACCACTATTTAATGCTGACCATGATGATGGATTACAATGTTGTGCTTGTAATAAATGTAATTCTTTTCGTCTTTTCACCGTTTCACGATAAATACGATAGTATAGAAGGCACATAAGTGTTACTGGTAAATAGAAAGCAGCAATGGCTGTTGGAATAGAAAATACTGCTTTATCTGCAAATGGTAATTTACAATGTGGTTCTTTCATATTTGATGTATGAATTACCGAACTATCAATATACGGCCAAGCAAATATCCACTATAGAAAAGCAAAAGTGCATAATTTTTATGAAAAAATGACAATCTCTTGTCTACTTACAGGTGTCCAAATGAAAAAGGATATTGTCCAGCCTAAACATATCATAGCAGCCGCTCGTCTGGGTGTTCGTTTAGCACGATAGGTCAACGGACGTGTGATGGATAAATAACGATCAAAACAAATTAGTAATAAATTGGCAACAGATGCATTACTCATTGTATAATCCACACTCAACCAAATATTACATAAAAATGAATTAAATGGCCATGTATTTGCTACTGTATACGTAATAAAAATAGGTATGGAAAAAAATCCGATGGTAAAATCGGCAATAGCAAGAGATAGTAAAAAATAATTTGTTACCGTACGCAATTGTTTATTAATACGAAATGAAATCATAACAAGTAAATTACCTGTAATAATTAGGACGGATAATATAGAACCACCGGATATAACTAAAACAGTTTTATATAATGATTGGGTACAATTGTTGCATTCTGAATCCATAATGTATCGTATTTTTACATCAGTAAATGGTCAACATTTATTTAATGTTTAAAGTCTGCTGTCGATGAATATCAGCATAAAAAATAAAAATATCTGAAGCGAAAAAAACGGATAAAAATATTTGTCATTAATTGTTTCATTTACAGAATGATCATCGAATCATAAATGTCATTCTGTCAAAACTTTTGAGTTAATCACCAGATAAAAGTACTGTCATATTTATTAATCAACAGGAGCATTTATTTTATACAGTTAATGATGTCAAATTATCTAATTTGTATTTTCTATATCATTATCTCTTTTTCAGTGCACAGTCTCAAAGGATCGAACTTTAAACATAGCCATAAAAAACACTCACATACTATAATCTCAGTTATATATAAATATCAGTTCCATAACTGGAAACTTCTCTTCTCATCTAGGTATCTTTCAATTATGATATGTAATGTTTTCAGCTTCTAGTTTTTATGAAATGTTCATTGATGTTTTTAGAAAAATATTCTTCTCATGTTTTCGTTTTATCTATGAAGAAAATACAAGAAAATAAAAAAAAATGACTCTCTAATCTATTTGCATATAGATGTATATAATTAGTATTTTCGTCCCATTACATATATATATATATAAACTAATATCACTTTACTCTCCTTAGAAGACGAAGAAAAAAAAAAACGACGAATTTTTTTTTTTACTTTTATATCCAAGTAAGTATAACTCGATAAATAACATCGATGATAAAATATACAGTGAAAACACACAAAAAGTGTTATCTTCTCCATAAAACATATTGCGATGAAGGATTCTCTTTATAAATGTTCTAATAATTTAGAAATAATTATTTAGACATTAAAATAGTATGATTCTCTATCATCTGTATTTTATACATAATGTATTAACAAAGATGAACAAAAAGAAACTAACCGTGATAGTCAGCCAGTAAAACATATGAGAAAAATTTTTATGAACTAATAATAACTTAAAATTAGATTCTATAATTGAGGTCATTTAAAATCATAATGGCATTTTATTCTGTTAGAGAATGTTGTTATTGTTATTATTGATGTTGATAGAATATAGATTATATATCTTTACAAACTTACTAAAATGCTAGTCCGGATAGTGATAGTTTAAAGACATTATAGTAGAATAATGTAGTCATTATAACCTTTTGTTAGTAAAACAAAAATAAGGAAACAATGGTGTTAGAGAGTATTGTATTATATCAATGGTTACATTTTCTTTATTTTTTGTTGTCAGTTTGATCAGATAAGATATTAAAATTGATGAATAACTGTCAAATATGTTTACATTTGTAAAACTCATTTTAAGATGTATTATATTACCTGAATCATATGAATAATAAAAATCAAACAATTCTAACAACTATAATTTTCTCTCTTTTATTTTTAAGCATTATAGTCATATATTATCAAAGGTAATAGTAAGATTAAAATCGATTGATAGATAAATGATGTCGATTTTATATTTATAGAGAAAAAAATACTCTACGAGGTCATTATTATTTCCACTATAAAACTTAATTTATATGTTAAAAATTTGATATCTGTTAGATATTATTATTATCAACTTAGTGTCGTTCAGTCTAAGAAGTTATAAATTGTCAATTATGACACTTGTTTTATGACAAGAGACAAGGGAATCGTTGTTGTTGTTATTATTCGTCAGGATTTATCTAAAAAATTTTGAAAGAATTTTATAATCATATAGATAATTATTCGTAAAAAAAACAAACATTTATCTGGTTAGACTATAGACAATCTAATTATGAGAGATGTCAAAAATAGTTTTTTTTTTTGTGTGTGTTTCTGATCTTACAATACGCGATTATCTAGCGAGAAAAGGGCACTATATTAAAATGGAAGTATATAAAGTTAGCGACTGTATAATGTCAGTCATGTAAGATTAAGCGTCCAATAAATAACTTATCAACTGTAATGCTCTTATATCAAACATATTAAAAAAAGTGTGAACAATAATGAAAATTTTTATTAGAATACCAGTAAATAATCTATTATGGTCTCTATTATCATCATTTTTTTTTCTCTTATATTTTTAGATATAAAAAAAGTGATTAGATAAGATCACTTATCGAGATATGTATTGGCATCACTTTCTAATGGTGTTGTTTGATCTTTGTAAACACTAAAATAGAATATTTGACATTGAAATAGAAATAGTTCTTTGTCTGACACTGAGCTTTTATTCCAAAACTCAACTATTTGTCTATATCTAGGCGTTATTTTTCAAGAGAATTTTCGGATGAAATAAAACAAACACTCAAAAAATGACTATATACAGTTACTGAAAACTAAACTATAGTATATGTCACTATAACTAGCTGATAAATACCCTACATTTTGTGTTTCGCCTTTGTAGTAGTAGTAATACTAGTTGATATGTAAAATATTTTTCTCTACCGTATCTAAAAAATTTATTTTAATTATTTGTCAACTTATCTGAGACGAGGCAATTATTTCTACAGATAGAAAATCAAAATTTTTTCTCTTTCCATTTTAAACATTTTCATTCGTAAACGATTATAAAAAATACAAAAAAAGAAAAAAATTCTACATTTGTCATACGCTACCTTCAAGAAAAACTTTTAATTTTCTCTCATATTAGCTGTAAATTATTATCGTTTCTCTCTTTCCATCAAGAACTATTAACAATTTACTATCCACATTTGGAGAAAAAAAAACTGTATTAGATCTATTTCTTCTTCGTTTACAATAGTTAAAAGTCACATTCTATTTGTTTATACGCATGAACAACAATCAACATAAACACATAATATAACTAGATAAGACACGAATGAGAAGAAAAAATTGTTTTATGGGTGACAAACCCAATAGGTATTCGCTTTCTTATCGTTAAGTAGTACAGTATATTATAGTAGTAGTAAATGATATTTGCTTACGCATCATCAGACTTTGATAAACACCAATCTTTGCCCGCACTGGGCATGCATCGATTTCTATCGGTATATTTCCCTCTGTTTCAGAATAAGATTGACTGAAAATTGTAAACTTTGACGGCTCACTTTTGTAGAGCAAACATTTTTCTCCAAATGAGAGATGGCACAACCCTTCATGGTACCCTACATCGGTATTAACCGCTATCGGTCGTGGGATGTTTAGCAAACATTTTTTATCTGAGTACTGATTCAACATGGAGAGTGCTGTTATATGTCATTTTCTAGAGAAATGTTTGCTCTACAAGATTGAATCATCAAAAACATGTTAAAAGATCATTTTGTGGTACTAAACATTTCATATGAAACGAAGGAAAATTGTGACTAGTAAATCTTGGTGCATGCTTAGCTCGCACATAAAACAGATCATCTGTGTAAAGAAAAATGACTGATTAAAAGTCATTTTCTTGAATTGAATGTGTATGTGTTTGGAAATAAGGCTAATGATAGATTCTCTGGGAGAAAAACAGACTATTACGTTTATTAGTTTCCGCTCCTATATCTTAGGATTTTTATCTTTTATTGCTCAAATGACTAATTCAGAATTTTGTTGATAACTATATTAAAATAAATCAAAAAGTCGTATGAAAATTGTTATTATTAAACACTACAAGTGCATTTTCTATGATGATCAATGTTCGACACTTAATAATTCTTACACAAGAATGTCGAATATTTGATGTAATCAAAAAGGATATAAGTAGGATACTTTTGTAGTGAATATAAAAGCGTCTATTATATCGGAATTTTTTACACATTACTAGTGTATCCGTTTTCATCTTTATGATTATGTTTGACATAGACTTTTTTATTGATTAATAAATTATACAATTATCGAAATATTAATTTCTATTAATTTCTTTCGACAAAGATATATAAGATAGATGATCAGAAAGAGTTTATAGACTAACAAATCACTAGTTTATTTATCTATCAAATAAATTATTAAAAAGAAATTCACTTTTCAAAAGAGAATTTGATGCAATTAATGATACTGACTACATTAATTATTCAACACTTACTTTCAACATAATTGTATTTATACAATATTGATAGAAATCGTAATCAACACTCTAAAAATACCTTCAAGGAAGAAAAATTGATTAATAGAATTAATAGAAATTTGACAAGATTTCTATGTTTGTAGGAAAAAAATTAACTATTTATAATAATAAATGAGCATTTATTTGAATAAATAATTGCCTACGACAAATGTAACAGAAATCATGACTGAGAAAAAGAATAAAGCATAGAGAGAGAGAGAGAGAGACAGAGAGAGAGAGAGAGAGAGAGAGAGAGAGAGAGAGAGAGATTAATCATAGGCAAAAACATTGATATCTCTCTTTCTGTGTATGTATAACCGAAGAACAAGTGAAGGGAGTGCTGCTGAATATAAATTAGAAATATATAAAAAGAAAAATATGAAGAACTAACAAAGACAAGAGAAGGTCTCATTTATATTTTAATACGTAGACGTGCGGAAATACACATTTTATAACATAAAGTGAGATTTTTAAGGAAGATATAAATTATTAAATAATTAGTTCAAGAACTATAATAATACAGGACTATTTAAAGAATATACACCCAAAATCTAAATTTTGTATCAAGTGTTTTATATTCATCGAATTTGATTATCTAATCATACATTATACATTTTATTGTGTATTGTGCACGTTTATCTGGATGAAGAGTAGAAACATAAGACTCAAATTAAATCTTGAGACAACTCTCTGTACAATTTCTATATCATAACAAGAAAATCCTTTTCTATCTTTTTCTCGAGATATCAGATTGTTTTCTTGTTGTTGCTATAGAATGAATTTGAATTTTAAATCCACCTAGTTCAGTTTGTCAGTTCACATTGGACTTTCGATCTTATCCTGTTCTACTTGGAATTCTAATCCTAACTGGATCAATTTAGAACCATTCGTGTCACAACTAGTTGATGTTCAAATTTCAATATTAGTCAGTTGAAATTAGAATTATAATCTCGCCTAGGTGTATT